GGAATTGTTTGGTATTTTGCTTGAAAAATTACTTAAACGATGAATCAAGTATCAAAATAATTACTAATTCATTTTCTGTCAAGTGGCTAACTGTTTCAACAAAATATCTAGCAGTTCTTGTTGGGTTTTTGCACATTACGACCCGCTTGGACTGAAAAATCAGCACACCATCACGGTTTGATCATTCTGTTATTTTCAATATACATTTCATTTGAAAAATATAAATTCTAAAATAAACCATTTCACCTGTTCTAAAAAGTCACAAAAAAGTTAATTTAAAAAAAAAAACAAAAAAACATATCAGTATCCCGTACGCTAACATTATATTTAATTTCATGATTTCTGTTCGACATGCTCACACTTTTAACTAACAACTCCCCACATTTATGTCTCAGACATTAAGTCACACTTGTTTCCACTGTCTGCTGTTGACGGCTAAAAACACTGATGTGGAGTACAAATGATATTGTTACTTCGGCTGATGAACTGAAACAACTTGACAGAAACAATTAAACACAAAGACCATGAAGGTACAGGGTAACTTGTTACATTTTGGTTTGAGCCAACGTGCCTTTTGTACATGATTTGCAGACGAGGAAGGCGGCTCATTTATCACATGGTTTAATTTTATTCTTTATAGTGGTGATGGAGACAGAAAGGTCAAATTAAATCTGTGACCCGCTTAGATGTCAGAAAGTGCTAACGGTGCCCTTTAGAGTTGAAGTGGGGATACTGTTATAATGAACTATGTAGATAATACTGGCCAATACAAGTCAAGTTATCAGATTGAGAGGCGTGATCCTTTCTATATGTGACTGTGGACTCACCAGACACTATGTAGGAAATGTGAAGTTTGCATTCCCTACAACATCTTCTCTCTTATTTTAGTAGTTTAAGTCCTAAAAACAACTTGAAGTTTTATGTAGAGTCTGTCTGAACGTAACACTCACATGCAATATTGTCAGTGATCAATCAATCAATCAAGCTTTCACATACACATACACATACCTGGTCCAAAAGACATAATAATAACAAACACAAAAGAAACAAAAGAAAAGAGTTATTGGTCGCTGCAATCACTCCTCCTTTCCATACTGGCCGTGACACGAAATCTTCCTAATGCCTATACACTGTGCAAAGATGGGCGACAAAATGAACAATCCTGAGCAAAAATGTATTCTAAAGTTCTTTTAAAAATCATTGGGTATCCTCCAACATGATGGTCTTTTTTTATTAATGAAATTCCCTCTGTGTGTTTCTTTGCTAAGCCGAGTCAGGAGGATATGTCCTGGTCTATGGGTTTCTTGCTAGGGCATCACACCAGTAATGAACCTTGACACACATGACTACCAGGATGAAGATTTTGTTTGACTCAGGCCTCTTCTACATTATACAGATTCAAACACTGGAAACAACAACAAGCTTCCATTAATTGTGCACTGGACCTTAAAAACACCAACACTCAAAGCGCCCAGTGGTGACTTTGGAAAGCTGAGAAGTTTATCCAGTGTCCAACTTGAAAAAAATACTTCAGGTTGTTTTTATTCTCTCGTATTTTCTAAAACAAAAAAAAGGTTTGCAATTCTTTATGATATAATTTACCATGCCACCAGAACTTGAACCGATGACTGCCAGCCTCTTTGTATGTCTGGACGTACTTTAACAGCAGAAGCCTCATATTAGGTTCAGCATTTGTCCCACATAACTTTGAGTTTAGTTCCTCTGTGGAGGGATCACGTCACAGCCTGTATGAACAGGAAGAATCATAACAGTGACCAATAACTCCCTCAGTGTACGTACAATAGACATGTGAGTATTAGACCATAAGACTTAACATCCTAATTATTTAATGTATAAAACAAAAACGTGACCCATATTCACATCAGATAATTCCAACAGCAGCTGATGGAGCTTACTTGGATTTGATTCCCTTCTTTTTTTTTCATAACGTTACCATAATTTCAGTCAGGATCAATCTTTATAAGCCACTTAGGTAAAGTAGTTTGTGCAGCACAAGCAATTATAGATATGCATTCCTAGTTAGAGTTTAAGTTTGGCTGAGGAAAAATTGGATGATTATGTAATCGCTTCACTGTTTTCTACCCACAAAGACAAAAATGAAGGACACGTGAAAAGGTTATCAACATACACACACAACACACTCATTACAAAAAAAAGAAAAACGATAATGACATGATTTAATTTAAACAAGAAACAAAAGCTTTGAAGTGAACGTGTGAAAGATTCAGTAAATTAGAAAGAGAAGGTGAAGCAATGAAGACTGCATCAAAAGTGATAATAAAATATTTACCTCATCTGCACATATATATGTGCATTGTTAATTAACTGTTAATTAACTTAAAAGATCTATTTGCACACATTTCCTACAGCAAATTGAATCATTTCAACTCTACAAGAGGACAGAGAGAAAATATCAAAACCCCATGCTGCGTCAAAAATCAACATGTTGCATTTGTTCATAATAAGCATTTAATCTAAAACAAGAGGTAGAGCTATAAAAAACATAAATTTCCTGCTACAGGAAAGTGTTATTAGAGTAATTCAATTATATAAAAATTCGGACAGATGATATTTATATAAAAAAAGCAGGAAGGGCAGTCCATGCGTGGTCCGAGAGAGCTGCAGCATTCACTGTTGATCAGCGCCGCGTGGGAGGAGTTGCATAGAAGAGTAGTAAGGAGTTACATTTAACAGTGTTTGAGTCAGACTGTTTACTGTGGAGCTGTGAGATAAACTACCAAGAGAAGATTGTGAGGAAAGAAATGGCCTTAAAATAGCTTCATTATTAGAAATGTATCGTTGTGTTTGTTCCTTGGTGCGTTCCCTTTTTTTCCCCTATACCTCCTAATTAAGAATAAGGTCTTGAAATCGTTGAAAGGAAAGTAGAGTAAAATAGATAGTGTGTTGCGGGTGCTGCAGGATTTGGTGCTCTACAGAGACGTTTCAGAACCTCTTCTCTTCCAGTAGAATGAATTATCGTCGTCTGGGTCCATGTCTATTCTAATCTGAGGCACAGACTTCAGCGGACTCATCTCGGGGCTGAAACACAAATTAATCTATTGTTAGGACATTATGTTAAGTGAAAAAATCAGCTGGTTAGCTTAGCTGACCAGTTTTCAATGTTGTGCATCAAAGTATCAAATTGGAAATGTCAAAATAATCGAAATTAGATTCTAGATTCAAAATTAACTTTATTGTCCCACAAAGCGGAACTTTTGGCTTGGGCATTCACCCATGCTGAAGCTATAAAAAACTTTCCACATATAACACACAAAGGTGAATAAAAACACAAAGGTACCTAAAAACACCTCCAGTACATACAAACAGACACCAGAAAGGACACCTCTTAAATTAAAGTCTTATGCCTCAGTACTTTAACCCTGAAACAAAATTCCTTTGTATTCTAAATGCAGAAAGAGTATTGTATAAAATGATATTTTGATAAACAGGAATGCACTATTGAGATAAATCATCGTGGTTTGGTCTCTGATCACTGCAGAAATACAACCAGAGACTGTGGTGTGGTTCCTGAGGTCATCTGAGATCAAAGCAATTTGGCTTCAGTCTTAGTGGAGACAGGATTAGGTTTTTGTTGTTGTTTTGTGTGTATGGGGGGGGTCAACACCACCAGTATGTCACTACAGTTCAAGCCCTGTCCAATATCAGCGGCTCTGATGGACATGTGGCCAGACCACTGAAATGCCTGAGTAAGTAGTAACATGAGATCAAACTCTTCCAGTCTGATTTCATGGGTAAAACTTTATGTTATTCTGCGATGGACTGGCGACCTGTCCAGGGTGTACCCCGACTTTCGCCTGATGTAACCTGGGATTGGCTCCAGCCCCCTGCGACCCTGTACGCAGGATAAGCGGTTGACGATGGATGGATGGATGGACTTTCTGTGATTTTACCTGGATTTTCAGTCAGGAGAGGAGATTAAAGAAGTTTCTTCATCAGCATGGAACCATTTAAAGCTGTTGTATCAATATCAGACACATGTTCGATAAAAAATTTAAATAGTTCAAATATAAAATTAAAAATGACAGTTGAAGACGCATTTTCAATAAGTTCATATAAACTCCAATACTCTCAATAGACAGTAGGGGAAAGAAACTAAGTACATTTACTTGAGTATTTTCATTATGTTTCAGTAGGAAATATTGTACTTTATCTGATAACTTAAGTTACTGGTTACATTTCAGATTAAAATTTTAAGCAGAAAACTAGCTGAACTGACAAATGGTAACGTATATATAAAATATGGTAGTTCAAAAAGGCCTTAACCTTCATCGGCTGCAACATTAATAGTAATGTAACAGTAATAATAATCGGACAAGTTAGTATATATGAGCATTATAATGACAGGGGTCATTCTGCTGCTTAATAGTTTTACTTTTGATAGTGCTTTTTGTTGTAAATACTTTGTATTTTACATGCAATTTTACAGTGTGGTATTGTTACTTTTGGGTAAGTAAAATATCTGAGCACTTCTTCCATTACAGTGAGTAGAATATGTTTGTTGTCAGTCAGTCTGATCTCTACAGCTGAAGACCAATTAGAAAAAGAAATCTTGCCAAGTGTTTGTTTGCATCACAGATGTGCTGTGATCACAGCTGCTTCTCACACATTGTCCCGAACACTAATCCTCTTCCGTCAGCAGTGTTCCGACAAGCGTAGAGCAGATGGGGTGATACAAGAAAAAATGTGACCTTGTTCATACAACCAGTGGATCCTGGTCACAATGAGAGGTTGTGGGCATGACAGAGAAAATAATCTCTTTGTGAGCATCATAATCAAGGCTCTAAATATTTGCCCAAAAAACAAGGCTTGTTCTGCCTCTTTAAGACTGATTGTCTCCTCTTAAGCTCATATCAGTGAAGCACATTGTGTTTAGCACGCAACATACACTCGCCTTGATCTACTAAGGGTGACAAGGTCAATCGTGACACATAGACTGGGATAGTTTCACACCATTATCACTACTAATAACTAAATGTGTCTCACTGCTGAATGAAATCTAAATCAGCAGCACCACCTGATGAGTTTAAAAAGACGTTTTAAGATAAAGTTAAAAATAGAGGCAGATATCTATATTTTGAGAATTCAGTTGTTGGTATTAACCATACAAACATTATTACATTACACACTCAGACAGATGTATCATGATTCCATTCATGAAAAAAAATAAACATAGGGGTGACCAAGGGTTTTAAAATGTAATATGACTGCAGTGACCACCAATTGAGTCTGACCAGGTACCTTTCTTGCACGTCTTCTCTATTACTCAGCTTTCTACAAAGCCAAATAAAAAGGGGAACAAAACACTATAATAAAAGTAAAAAACAAAACAAAAACAACAACAAAAAAAAACGTCGTAAATGTCCACAATGCATCACAGATTGGGAAGTTGGTTCTGCTTGTGGCATCGACGCCAGACTGCATGAAAACCATCTGGCCAGCTGCAGCATGTTCCTGTTATGCCACTCATCGGCACGCTGCTCGGCCGGCAAAGGAAGAGGGCGGGGGGAGGCGTTCGTGTGGGCTCAGGCCAGCCACCTGACCATGTCAGGGAGGGGGGCAAGGGGAGAAAGGATGTGCAGCTTTGCAGCAAGTGCAACAAGCAGTGAACAGAGAGTGAACAGAGTGTACTGCTTGTTGCTTTGAGCTTCAAGCTGCACATTAGCCACTTGGCTAACGGCAGCTGGCTCACACGTGTGGGAAATGTGTGCTTGGTGTGGCCGGTTCGACTGAGACAGGCACAGTCAGCATTTGTTCAACAACTTTCACAAAAGGAGCAACAAGATTTCACACACAGATTTTTTTCAACCCATAGTTTACCAGTAGTCCGATCTGACCGACGAGGGTCGGCCAGCAATGAAACCGGTTGCTAGATGTCATTAGCCGCAGCTAATGTGGTGCAACATGGACACATGGGGTCTCCTTGGTCGGCTGATCCAGGGACAGACCACATGTCAGCTACACGTTAGCTTACGGTTAGCTACCTGTTAGCTCAACGTTAGCCTGACAGTAGCATCTCTGTAGCTTAAGGATCGCTTGCCTCGCTGCGGCAACATAACAACGTTGAGGCAGGCGTCACCGGAAGTTGGAGCGGGGGAAGCGGGGAGCCGTCGGGGATTCCTGCTCATCCGATAGAAGAAGGTCGAGGGCTTCGTCATGAGAGCAGGTGGACCGCCACGCCACTGCGTCCTTACCGGCAAAATGATCCGCCCAGCACAGCTTCTCTTCGTGGGAGAGAAGGTCGCAGAAAGAGCAGCGTGAGCGGGGGGTGAGCGCTCGGCCGGCGTGCTACGGTCCGAGGCGCACCCAGCATGGGGGGTGGAGGTTCCCCGGCAGGACGAAGCCCGTTTTACGGACGCCGCACGCACACCCGTACTGATAAAAATCTGCTGGCCGGCTGAGAGCTGCTAAACTTGGGGGAGAGCAGCAGGGAGCAACGCTGCAACCATTGGACAAATAAACACCCGTAGTCGGTTGGATTCTGCTCTGACAATTTCTGCCATTTACTCGTGGGAGGAGCTCGAAGTTAACTGCTTTTATTAAATTAGCTTTTTACTTTAGTTTTTGGGATTTCAACGTTGATTTATCTTCACTTCAGTGTTGTTGTTAGCGTCGTTAGTAGTCTGTTAGTCGGACTACGACTTCATATTTATATAAAAACCGGACAAAACTGGACATTACTTGGAGAAAAGAAAGCGAGGAGGTTGACCTACCTGGTAAGTTCAGAAAACATGTGTCTGTAACTTTATTCCAGCTATCATTGCACTTTACTGTGACCAAGTTAGCATAGCATAGCCCTGATCGATCCAAAATCCATTCAGAAAACAAACATTTTAGAAGTTGTTGTCCTGCTGTCTTGCTGGCAGACCTGACAAAGCATGAATTCATATGTTTAACAAATCTGCATCATGTTGTAGTTATTTCGGCATCAGTTTGATCCGTTTATTGCTATTTAATCACAGCAAAATGTTTACTTTGGGTTCATACAGTTGTAGTAATGGCGAGTTGTGTTTGTTCAGGTTATCGCGTTAAAATCGCCTTGCAGCGAATGTACTCACGCAAGGAAAGCGTCGCGAGGAGAAAATTCGCGGTTGGTCTGAATTCCGCATTAGAGGGCGAAGCCTATGCGAAATAGAAGAGATGAGAGGGGAGGCATCTGAGCTGAAACATGCCAACTCTGTCAGCCACTGAAAAAAGCCATAGGTAACTTAATTAGCCTAGATGGCCTTTAAAGTTCAGACTAGCATTATATGTTAGCTTGTTAGCTCGCCTTCTGACCTTTGATGCCACAGCCATGAATGAATTAAAAAAGAAAATCAGAGCCAGTTATATTGCTAGCTAGTTATGTTGCCCCCCCAACACACACACACACACACACACACACACACACACACACACACACACACACACACACACACACACACATCTCACCTGGACAAGTAATTGGCCTGGTAGTAGCGAAGCTGCTCAGCACGATGTATGTCGTTCAAGGAATGATGGGGACTTCTCTCCTGTGGAAGAACAAACAAAAACAGCCATTTGTGTACATGTAACCAAGTTAATATATTTGATCCACTCTGACACAAACTTTAAAGTTTATATTCAGGACAGATTTTACCCAAATCTACTGTTAGTACTACTTACTGGTAGTTGACAATATTCTGAAATGTTTTTACTTGTGTGCAGTGATAAAGTAGATGAGAAGCCAGTATTTTATTTAATGTAGTAAATAGGATTTTGTTCAAATGTTAACTGTTACTTAAAAAGTACAATTTGTAAGAATTGAGACTACTCTCCACCTGTTGAATTTGAAAAATAGGGGGCAGCATGTCACAGGTCATAACTGCTGTTAGCAAGTTAGCTCTGTTAGCGGTGCAGCTAATGTAGTGATTGTTGGAACAGTGGAAAGGGTTTGGTGGTTTTACACTGTGTTAACAGGGCAATTAGTTTGGTGAAAGAGAGAATTCAGAAGGTGTACTGGTTTGATAAGGAAAATAGTTAAGTTAATATAGTTAAGAATATTTCCTTTTTTACATTTTGAGTTTATTTATTAGACTAAAAAGATAATGTAATGTAATTTCAAAATATTAGAACTGCATATTTATATGTAAAACTGATCTATGATTCCTGTCCTGCCTGCTCCCTTTGACTTTTTTACTGTCCTGTCCCAGTCCTGTGATGAACAGTGAAATTGACTCCCATTCCATGGGAATACCCAGGAATCTCGTGACTGACAGGATTCCTGAAAAGATGTCAGCCTCACAATGCATTGCACATATATCCCAGATGAAACTATAGGGGGTGACCTGTGCTATATTATTGCCTCTCGAGGCACAAATGGTATTATAACACAGGACGGGCTGTGGTTAGCTGGTTAGCATGCTTACTTAGTAGCATCTTTATAGATATTTCTGCAACACAATACATAGATGCCTTTGACATAACATCAGAACAGCTACTACTTCTTAAGATACTTTTTTGAACATTTTAAAACACATTTCTGGCCATATCTTACAAATTATACCTTTAATCAAAATAATTACAAATAGTTTATAGATTAGGCAAACATTAGTTGCAGGTGTGCTAATAGTCTAATAGTTTTAAACAAGCAATTTCTACAACAAAGTCGAAATTCAACAAGAACCATTAACTCAACAATTGATATTTTAAACAGGTAAGTTGAAACTGTAAACTGAAGGAAAAAAGGGTTAGGTCAAGCAAGCCTTCAAAAGGGAAATAAAATAAATTAAAATTATTTGAACACATCATAATCTAAGATGAAAGTACAAAAGGAGAAGAAAGTGAGTTAATTTCATGCATGTTTTGGAACACAAGAAAGAGAAAGGCAAAGAAGGAAAAACATGTTATTTCATGCTGTGAGTGAAGGACAAACGAGCAACAGTATCAACTCTTAGTAGCAAAAGAAGTCGTCAGAGACACTGAATGTGGAAGCAGAGCAAAAGTGTCGGGCAAGATCAAGAGGAAGAAGTAGTTTTTCCTCCGGTGCTGCAGGTAGCTTGGGTCTACTCACTGTCAGACGCCTTATCACCTAAGAAGGGCTCCTGCTCCATCATGTCCATGGGGATTTTAATGCTGGGAACATCTCATTGTAAGGATAGTCAGACTGTTGGAGAGAGGAAACACACATCCTGAGACCGGACTACTGGTGGTGTCAGTGAGTTAGCACGAGTGCACACACACACACACACACAAATGCATTTATATTACTAAACCTGTGACTTATTTTGACAGAAAGGGCAACTGAAAAATACAAATGACTGATTATAAAACAGCCAGTGGTGATGCGTCTTGAGTCTCTGGGTCCATTTTGTACTTTCCTGGTTCCCAAAGGTAAAAGACACAATGTAATACAGCACTGGAGAGATTTCTGCTGCAGCTAAAAATCAGATATCATATAAACCTTTCTGCCTGTCTGTGAATCAAAGGGCACCCATTCATAAATTTAATAACAGTTTAACTCATTGGTGTCAGCTTGGGAGAGGAGTCAATAAGACTGTACAAGATATATATGACTGATAGTTTTCCACCAGAACTGGACAAGTGTATTTACCACTGGGCTGTCAGTGATCTCTGTTTTGAAATTTGAAACTAGAAAAACACAGCAGCTCTTCTAAAGATGTCGTACATTTCTGCTAAATGATCCACAGAAATTGGGCCGAGGCGACTGATATGTTTTAATCTTGAAGTAATTCAACTATTTAAAATTGTTATTAGTTTATATAGTTCACTGATCTGTCTGTACCTGAAACTGATCCATTAAGACAAACCTCCCCAAAGGCGGTGTCCATAAGTGAGCTTTCAAAAAAACAGACCCAAATTGAACAGGCCTGAAGCTAATTAAACCCCGGCCCGAAAATGGACATATAGGGATAACACCAACACGGGCAGCCGCATAATTCAGATGCACAACGTAATCCGAACATCTTGGATCCACGAGTATAAGAGACATTGACACACACACCAGAGACCTGCGACAATACAATGGGACCCCTCCCAACACAATTAGTCCAGATAAAGTATAATGGGTCCTGGATCAAGTGGCGGTTTCAAGGAACTGAGTGGACCCACGTTTCAGTTTCCAGGATCAGTCACTTAAAATCTAAACTTTTTACACTGAAACGGCAAGCGTGAAGACTGGCTCACGTTTGAAATTTGTCTGATACAATTTGTGTATATAATCATCCTAAAGACATCTGAACCGTAAAATGTTAGAAATGCAAAAATATGTCTTTTTGCTTCTTCTTTGCTCATGCCCTGATGCTTCTGATTTCCACTGCCAAAACACAAACCAGGATCTGCAGGATGTTTATCGTTATCATCGAGGAGGCATGAACAATCACTCAAAATGAGACAGTGGCACTTGCACCGCTGTATCTTTATCTCCAAGATTTTTTTAGCAGTCAAGGAATTCTAGCAAACCTTATCATCTTCACTCAATGGGGAAACTGCTTTACACCAACTGAAAATGAGGAAAGGACAAACTCTACAACATGAGAAAGCAGGTGCAGGAAGGAAACCGACGTCTGTAGACCTGGATATTTGTTAGCCTGCGGATAAGCCAAAACCTCAAATGAAACATGCTGCTGCTGCAAAAAAAGCTGGGAGTTGGGAGGAGGGATGGTGGTTGTAGGTGAGGCTGAAAGACTTGGGAGTGGGCTATCATTTAAAACAATGGATACTGGAGAAACTGATGGACAATCAGGCATTTGTTTGTTTCTGCAAGGAAAAAAAGTATATTTCCCAGTGGGGGTTGAAACTGTAAACAGCCTTACGTCTTCAGCGTCGCTGTCTATGCTGCCTCCTTTTTTCTTTTTCTTCTTCTCGTCCTCTTTCTTCTTCTTGTCCTTCTCTGGGATGACATCGTCCAGGAAGCTGAGGTCGTGCTGGGAGAACATGTAGTCCATCACTTTTCTGACAGCTACCAGAGCAAGGATCTAAAAGCAGAAGAACCAGAGGATTAGAGTGGACTGAGGCAGTGTTTATTTGTTGAGTTGGTGTGACTAAAAAATCTGTCTGGTCTATGGAGCCCTTCACATTAAATAGAGTTTAAATACAGTACAGTATATTGTACATTTCTAACTTCACTGTAAATATGCAACAGACTTCTTTTTTTTTTAAATATGCGCTGATGAGAGATTAATAAAGACAATTTTAAATCTCCAAAGCTGCAAAAGCCAACAATATACACTGATAATTGGGAGGTCTAAACCTCTAATGATGTGCACTTCAATTAAGGACAAATAACAAATACTAAAAATACTTTATATGTGTCAAAAGAAGATGTAGCTTATTTTAATGTTATATTTTTCGGTACCTTAAGTAACCCAAATGATAAATGAAGCACATCTTGACACATCACAGTTGATAAATAATAATATTTTAAATCCTTGAAACAAGGCGAGGTACAGTTTGTGAGTGATTTGTAATCAGTCACTTCCTGTCTAAAAACAATAAATATACAAAGTACAGTTACAAGTACAATAAATACCATAATAATGCCTTGAGTGCTGCAGTGACCCTGAAACGTAATAACATAAAACATCATGACAATCGTCACTGGTTTATCACTCAAATAAATAATCCTCTGAGTATCAATGATAAGCTTCATTTACATGTCAGAGTGCTTCAGTGTCGCCATAATTCAGTTTGATCATGTCAAGCTGACTGGATTAAGCTGTTTTTATCTTTGCTCGCGCATATCTGACTCATTCATTTTAGAGGATGACAGAAAACTGATTATAAATTGAAAATTACTGCTGGTTGGAGTTACCAATACATGTTCTTTTCTGTTTCATATCACCATCACTTTTTTTGGTTGCTGCACATACTAACTATGAACTCAACTCAACTTAAAATGAATATAAGCTTAATTGTTGACTGTTTATTTTGACCTTTAAAATAGCAGGTTGACAAAAGATTCAGAGCACATGGTCCACTTTGTTGAACTTTTTCCGACCTTTCAGCTGTAGCTTTTGTGGCCTTGATTAACATATGCACCTGTTACACTAAGGTCGTGTGATAACAACTGAACCTACATGACAACTTAGAAAACTCCCCCTGATGAAGGCCACTGGATGAAGTTCCTAAAAAACTAATTTGCAGCTTCAGAACTTCTTAATCTTAATATAAATGTCTCTTACCATGACAGGGAATACAATAGCAGCCACAGTGGACTTGAGGACCCAGAGCAGAGCCAAGCATAGGATCTGGATGAAGGTGAAGAGGTGAACCTTCCTGAGAGGAACGTGTCGCAGGTAAACCAGGTCCGGCTGATGCTTTGCTGGCATCAGAAGCAGCTTGAGACGATCCATAAACTACAGACAGACAGAGCTAAACATCACAGGAAGCACTAGATGCGACACACGAGTAACAGCTAGTCACTGGCTTGCATTGTTTTTGAATATTTTGATATTCAAAAATCTTGAGGTCAGCCTCAAGATTTGACGTGTAAATACTACTAACATGACACGTGTCAGGTGGTAATTTACCTGAACTCCATTAAGAGAGGCGACTCCCATGTATAGGAAGACTCCGTACAGCACCGGCATGGGGATAAACTTGGTAAAAAAGGGAGAGAAAAATGAAGAAATACACTCAAAAGCAAACAACGCACATGTTCAGAACACATTACTGCGATTTATACTGTGAGACGTGGTTTTGTGTACTCCAACTCTACTCTACTAAAATGTGTAGCTTTCACTAAGCAATAAAAGAAGAATATTTAAGGTTAATGTGAAGAAAAACTGTTAATGATGTTAACTAGTTTGATGAGCTAAAAACATTGGTATTATTCTTTTTAAAGATAAAATATGTTAACATCTTTATAGAACACAAGTTTCACTATTGCTATTATTATTATTACGTGTGGCAAACACAACAATTAACCACTGAAATGTCTCTCTCAATAGCTGAGTCTGCAATAATCCCACATTTTACACTGTCAAACATGGAGTTAATCTATACTCAGATTTTGTGCTCCACTGGCCGCTGACCTCTGATCTCACACATGGACTGCAGCGTAGCAGCCAACTGGAGAGTTAGTTGGTTGACTGATACAGAAATAACAGCTTGTTTATCTCCCTTTCAGACTGTTAGTCAGAGATCCAAAAAATAAACCTAGTTTTGGTAGTAAGAGGAGAATAATTACCTTATTTTGACATGTTTATTTCATTTTCATGATAAACATCAAAGCATTGGTGCTCTGTTATAGTACAACCACTATTACTAAATCCAACTGTTTTTGTTTCACAGTGACAAGCTATTCTCTTTGAGCCTTGGAGTAAATACATAACTTAGCAGGTCAATTACAGGTACTGGGAACATTTAAAATGTTTTAATGTTCGTTTCCAACATCTGGCATAGCTCAGTCACCTTGAAAAGATTAAACTTGAGAGACTTAGTGACTAACAAACAGATGCAAATCAGAAGACAATCTCTGATTAATTACCTTTAAAATGGGAGACATAAATACAGACAGTCCTGTCAGGATGAACACAAACACACCAGTGACCCTCTGCTCTCTGCAAAAAAAAATAAGAGGGGGGAAAATAGTTATGCTAACAAAACTCAAATGACTGTTTCATGATTTGGACATATTTTACCTCTTTTACAAACAATGACAAAGTCCCAGAAAAGCTTGAATAATGGGGCTGATTATTTGAGGATGTCAATGATTCCCCAAATCTCATTCAGCTTGGCCAAAGCCAAGACAACCCAACAACACTTGTAGGAGATTCAGAGTTGGTGTAGATGTTTCATTGTCTTGCAAGACAAGAGTTTGTTAGTTCAGCTTACAGCTGACGCATCGGGAGGTCGTGGAGAACTTCACCACACAAAAACAAAAAACTCTAAAAACAGGAAGAAAATCAAACAGGAAGATGGTAAAGTGCCTTTATCATCTGTTAATGAACACAAAAGACAAAACCGACAAAAACACAATGATTTAAAACAGCCAATTATGCAGCTTAATTGGAGTACATAGACACTACAATAAATTGCTTGTCTTCTCTAACAGTTAATGAAAGAGATCAATGTAATATTTCTGTAATTTCGTGGAGGTGGTGTAAACTTCTGAGAGGTGGTAATAAATAATATTTCACCAGTCAGGATTAACAATCCAACAGTAATCTACTTTGTAAATGTTTTTGAAGTTTGTCTTAATGACCCAAATGACTTTATTGCAGTTTAGTTAATTACCTCTAACAAGATTTCAAAACTACTGAACACATTTTTTGTGAGATTTGCCAGAGAGTGGGCCAAAGAATACCTGATTTTGTTTTTGGTGCAGAAACTAATGGAGCCGAAATAGATTTGTTATTGTAGCTAAATTTGGACTTTTGGACAACACTGTGGAGTTATTGGAAATGTTTGGATCACATGAGTCGTAAACAATCCTACGTAGCCACCACTGGTATCTAATTCTACAAATAGTATAATACTAATAATATTAATGTAGTGTAATCGTTATCGGCAACTGTGCAGAAATACCATGTTTAAACAGAATAAATGAAAGAAAAGTTGTTGAATGTAGATTTAGAATTTGAAGGTTGAAGTTATGAATGAAGCTTTGAACTATTCGGAACCGCCCAACATTAAATATTTGGATATATATAGTATATTTGGAGTCCCGAAGGTTATCCGTGTTAATGACATGCTGTACTGCTTTCTATTAGCACTGGTTGCCAAATGAAACTGTCCTCTTTGCAAGTTGACAGGTGCACACAACTTCCCAGTGTTTCAGTAAAGTTTGTTGGCATCTGTCCTATAGATGGTGCTACAGCAACAGTCAACAACAATCAGTTCATCTTTACATTTTATCCTCATAAATATTATTGTCTGCCATTATGTGCACTTTGATGTTGATCCAGATGAAAAATAAATAAATAAAACACTCTCCAACTTATTGTACTGTGTCTTACCTCACACCCAGAAACTTCGGCTGCTCTCCGGGAGCCGATGTTTCGGTTTCCATCTTCAGACTGTCGATGTGCGCAATGGAGATAACGGTGGCAGCCACGTACCATGGCAGACCCATGAAGGAGCAAATCACCATCAGAACGGCCACCCAGAACAGATCCAGATGGTAACCTGCCCCTTTCTGTTTCAGACAACAAACTCAAGGTTAAAGGTCATGTATGTGCATGCTCAAGCATAGACAGTATGCAGAGCCCAGCTGCAGACACAGGGAAACCTAAAACCAGAAAACAGCTCTTGTAGGGTTTGATCATATATTATGTTGAGTAATACAGTAGCAGAATAGAACTAAAGTGCTCTGAAATTATTCTGCAGTTATCTTTAAAGGGACAAGTCACACCGCAGAAACTTCAGCAGTGGCCCTGAACATCTCAAGTAGTTGCTTTTTGAACTGAGCTGTGTTCAGTCACTGCCATGAAACATCTCTCACTCCCATGAGAAGAATGACAACAATATTTAACTGCAGTGTGAAGGTAGCCAGTGTCCTGTACAAACTGAAGCTTGTTGTGGGAAACGCATGGAAATCCTCACTTTACATAAAGCAAGTAAGACAAACAGAAAGAAAAGGAAAGAAACAAAAGGCCTCACTGTTTACACTGCAATGATAATTTAAACATAATGCATTCTATAATATGAAAAATACAGATTCAAGCATTCACAGCAATTTATCATTCAGGTTTCGTTGCAAAATCTTGAACCTTTGGTTATATTCTGACTGTATATCAGAACATGACCTGTATTATTGAAGTGACTCCTAACCCACCACTGCCTCTCACTCATACAGTACATCAACCCTGTGAACTCTGTAAACATTAAAACAACAACGACATTTTGCATTTTGAAGACTTATATAACCTGGGTAACAAATGAACCTGCTTAGAATACATATTTTATCGCTGTAGTTTCTTCTCTACCTTCAGCTTGTGCTCCTTCCTGTTGACAATCACAGCAGTAATCTGCTGGTCCATGAAGACCAGTATGGTGACCAGCAGGGCAGGAAGGGCCGACACCAGGTAAACCCACCAGGGGTTTCCTCCGAACGGGGGAACAAACCAGCCCCGGTTTGGACTTGTTGGCTGTGAGGGAGGAAGACAGAAGCTCCAACATGTCAGTCAACGAGATAAAGTGGCATTGACAGAAACTGTTATGGAAATATGATGTTTGCTTTTGACATGTAGACAGGAGGAGCCGGGGATTAAACCAACAAGCCTACATTTTATTGGCATTCCTTCTTCCACCTAAGCTAGGGTTGTAGCTTCCTGCCTTTAAAACCACTGGTTTCAGTTCGTTTCCCTATAGTATGAATACTCCAGTGATTAAAATGTAAACCACCACAACCAACAGTTTTTGTCTAAGTATTGTCACATGGTACTGTAAATGCAAGATTGTGTTTTGGATTATAACCTTTTGACAAAAGTCTAGTGGAATCTTAATATGTTTTATGATGTTTTCTAAAGCAATACACCTAAACAAAATGCACTTGAATTGTGCGCTGGGCATGAGCACTTAGGAGGCAGGGAGGGAGGAACTCACCTTGAATTCGGTTGGCACAATGAGTTTTGGAGTGTCAACTCCTACAAGCATATCAACTCCACAGAAGATAAAGATGGCCAGGATGATGGCAAAGTCACTGATGAGCTTCCTCACCTGGGTGAACGTTAACACAAACATTTGAACACCTACCGTCATTTCCTTGACAGATGACCAGCTGGATTAAATTAGCAAAGTGTGGCTGACGGTGACTCACTGTGGTGGGGAAGAAGGGGCTGCTCTTGAACTTCTTCAGACACATGGAGCAGGTGTAAGTGCCGAAGAACAGAATGAAGGACATGAGGGCGATGTCTGGGACAAACTCACAGGCCTTCCCCACCAGCTCTCCTTTGTACTTTAAGCACTCGGTCTTTGTGAGGGACGACCATGTGGCGTTCATTGGCTGCAGAGACGAAACAAAGAGCATAATGGTTATATAGAAACAGTTATTCATGCAAATTAGTGTCCCACTAAAGCTGTGACCAATCTGAAAGAAGGGTAAAGTAAAGTAACTTGTAACTGTAAACAATTTCTGAAAATGGGCTCGTTACTCTTGTCCTAACAGCAGAGGAACGCAGCCTATTTGCTATTACAGTGATACCCAACCAGGGGTACTTCTGCAGTTGGTGGATGAAAAGATTGCGAAGTAGAACATAAATTACTATTTGATTAAAACAATATATCCACATATTAAGGCTGTAGCGTGTAGCACTGCTGAACCTGAACACCACTCTAACTGTTGCAATAATGCGTGAAAGCAAAAATCCTAACAGGTAGCTAAAAGTAATGACTAAACAGTTCAAATGATTAGAGCTGCAACAATTTACTGATTAATTGTCAACTATTAAATTAATCACCAACAATTTTTAATTTTCAGTTTGAGGAATTCTTTATGGAAAAAAGTCAAAATTCTCTAAATCCAGCTTTTTAAATGTGACTATTTTCTGGTTTCTTTACTCATCTATGACAGTACACTCCCAAATAGCTTTGGGTTGTGGACAAAAAAAGACATTTCAGGACGTCATCTTGGGCTTTGGGAAACAAGGTTCAACATTTTTCACCATTTTCAGCCATGTTTCAGACCAAACAATTAATCAATTAATTGTGAAATAATCAACAATAAAAATAATTGTTTGTGGCAGCCACACAAATGAAAAGCCAAAAGTTTTGGTTCAATGGTTGGAACATCAGCTTCGTATGGTAGTAGTCTTCCTGACCAAACCAACCTTAGCATTGACACTTAAATTGCATATAAAAAATATTGTAACAGAAACCAATTAATCAATTTAATCTTCTGAAGCACCTAACAAAACAACATGGTTCTACAAAGCTGATCACAAAACACCCCGGGGAGGAGCCTCAAACGGCACAGTGTGGGACAATTATCCTGTCCCACACTGTGCAACAGCAACCCTAAAATAATGTAGCTGTGCTGTATTAGTAAGAGAATTGAAGCAGATATTTAAGACAATATAACACAAACGTTACTTCCCCAAATAACTAATTATTTATACCTGCAGTAATTGGTAAAATAATTCACTTACTTTTAAAAGAAGAAACAACCAGTGACTACAACTACTTTTCAGTAACTCGCACAACGCTGCAGACTTTCAGTGTTTTGGAGTAAAGAGAGATAAAGGCAAGTCCACCGAGCGTGTCACAGTAACCTTAAATTGGAAACAATGTGCTTATCAGACTGCTCTACTTTCCTTGCAACATTTCCTTGTAACACTGTCATCTTGAGTTTTTTCTTCATCTCGCAATTTGTGGTTGATATGCTGGTAAGTATTTTCAAGATTGTCAGACCAAAGTCCTTCAGTTTGAACACAGCTTGAAATAAATCAGGGAAAAACAGACAGCACACTACAGTATATTAGAGCTACTGTATAGTTCAGATAGCATACAGTAGCATAGATGACATCTTACATACACTATCACTACGGATGATTTTGCATTCAGAACAATATCAATAGTTAAGGTAATTATAATCTATTTTTTCCACCACAGACAGCAATAAAAACTGGAAAACTTACCAGATCAGTGTTGTTCCAGTACCAGACTGAAGTACCTTCTAATGGGTCACCAATGATATCTGTACTGTTCTCTGCAAAAACAAAAATCCTCTCAGCAAAAGTCTTTACCACAGCACATTACACAGTGCTTCGTCAATAAGTTCAAATTTGTCATAAATATCAATGAATGAAGTTTTAAACGACACTATGTCTAAAACCACAATATATTACCCCCAACCAGCTATAATGGAAGAGAAACAAAACTGTTGAATGGATGGGGTGAAAATCAAAGAGTTTCTTTTGTAGCTGCCAGTTTATGGCTCAGCTCTTTGTTGACACATTAGGCAGACATTTTATTAATATAAGTTGTATTGTTGTAAGATGTTCACGTTGCTTACTTGGCATATATCATATATCAAATATATCATCTGAAATAACATGATTACAGTTATGTAGCTTAGCATGTTAGCTAATCTCAGTACAACTGATGTCTGTAGCAAATTTCAAATTTCATGACCAGCTGGGAACCTTTGTTGCATCTCAGTCTCTCCCTTGTTTCCAGTCGACTGTTGCTGTCTAAAAAAAGCATAAAATGGCCTCAAAAAAAGAGTTTAAAAGAAATTTCAGTGTTGAGCCAAACCGCTAGCTTGCAACCAGTCAGAAGTTTCCCTGACTGACTGTCTGTGTTACACCAGCCTGTTTTGATGATGTGTCAGCTGCTCACTCATTAAAAGTAAGCATCTGTTGTTTCCCCTTTCCTGGTATGCACTGTAGGCCTACTCTATTTGGAGCGTCATGGGGAATTGCATATTTCTGTGTGTGTGTGTGTCAGAGAGAGAGATTTTTGAAAGCAGTAGGGGATGACCAGTAATTCAGGGCTGCCCCCCTCTTCATCTCCCATCCTCCATCAGAAAAATATAAAGAGGCATGCTGTGTTGTATTAAAGTCTGATGAGAACAGCACTTGTTCACTTTTTTATATGGGGAAAAAAAAAGCTTTTTCGTTTATTGTAACCATAACAATACATAAATATCTGGCCATTTATGTCAAAACAAAACAGAAACTAAAACTCAGCAGCCCACAAAGCTGCAATTACCCCTTACAACCAAACAAGCTAAAGTGAGTATTTATGCCATCCATCTAACCACATGTTACATGAAAAAAAAAAGCCCTCCCTTTAACCCCTCTCATCAAATTAAACTCAGTGTTTCTCTCCAACAGTCTAAACAGTGATTTACAAAATACTCCCTCCTTGAATTGTGCCTGCAACTTTGAAATGATGAAAATCCACTTTCACTGCAACTTTAATGCTCAATCTAGAGTAAACCTTCATAGAATTTTCTCTTACTGTGTTTACTATTATGCACCAAAATACCAAGGTAAATTCTTCATATTAGAAAACCTACCTTGCAATAACCCTGATTCGAATGTTAAAACTTCTTAAAATAAAACTACATGTATGTGGGATCATTTTTAAGGAGAATTTCTCATCAACAGGATGTCAAAACCTGCAATGGCTAATTGGTTAACCAACATTGATGTGTCTTATACATGGTCTTATATGGATTCATGGGTAAAACACACCTGCTCATTCAGTGTCTGGATACCAATGTGAGTTAAACGCCTCAATGTTAAGCAACATCTCACCTAGAACAGCAGGAGCCATACAGAGGCAGTCGTATTGTGTGACATATTCCATCTTAAATTCGCTGTTGATGGGATAGTGGTGAGCTAATTTGAGCATCTTCTTGAAGGCATCATAGATGAAGATGAAGCTGATGAGACAGGAGAAGCCCTCCTCAGTGAACCGGGTGAAGTACTGCACCAAGAAGCTGGCATCAGTGGCCACGAGCACCAGGCAGAAGAACGCCGACCACAGGCCAATCCACAGGCGGAACTCCAGGTAGTCAAAGCCATTCTCTCTGTATGAAAAAACAACAAATATTCAAAAATAGTCAGATCTTTTATACAACTACGAGTATTAGGGCCACTGTTAGAAAGAGTTTTGAGAACACAGTTCTATTTTAAGACAAAACATTATGAGAATAAAGCTGTAATACTTTGAGAAAAAGGTATAATATTTCAATTAAGTCATATTATTAAAACTGCATCTGACACGTGAAAGCTAACTGACTGGTACAATGTGTAAAATATGCCCAGAGTTTTCTTTTTGTTTTTTTAAATAACTAACATTATCAACATAATATGAAGATGTATCGGTTCTGACTTTATGTCAATGACATCAACTTTAAAGACATGAAAAAGTGGAATGCGGGACTTTTACATATAAATGAACGTCCGTTACAATTAAGTCCTCGCAAGAAAAGTTCCCACAAGGCTGATAAACCACCAGGTAAATCTCTGTATTTCGCAGTATACTGGAGTTTTTTCAATATGTGTCTGTGACAACATACCAACAATGGAGCACCAGTAATGAAGCATTTTATGTCAACCGGCAATGTTTGCCAGAGCTGAAGGGGAGCAACCGTAGTACCAGTAGTCTATAGCAACTAGGAGTACAGCTGAGCCTAAAGGCTCATGCAGGTTACACGACTTTCAGCGTCTGCCGATGGCCGTGCTGTTAACACTACACAACTTGCCGTCTTGTGACGGGAGTCTTGAAGTCGTTGTGGCGTTCACACTACATGACTGATCGTTGACAGGGGGTCACACACTAAATGAGCTGACAAGGACTCTGTCACCCAACGCAGGTCTCCAAACCACGTTTTGTCAAGAAAACACACGTGAAATGTGAAATGAGAAGTTATGCGACCTATACATGAAACAGCTGATTTTGTCATTATAAAGTTCAAGTTTATTTATATAGCACATTTAAAAACAACACTAGTTGACCAAAGCTACAGCAGCTACTGAGAAGGCTCAGTCACCTTTAGTTTTTAACCTGGATCTGGGGACATCGAGGAGCCTCTGATTGGATGACCTCAGTGCTTTGACTGGAGTGTGTATATGTAAAAGTTCTGATAAATAAGAAGGTGCCAACCCATTTGAAATTTTAAAGACAAGCAATAAAATCTTAAAATCAATCCTAAAGCATAGGAATCAATAAAGATAGAAATTATAAAGACAAAGAATATGGGTTAAAGAATGGATTACATTTTACAGGTAGCAGGGATTGTCTGAGCTACAGAGAGAGCTGCAGGTGAATAAAAAGTGTTTTGCAGTGAAAAAGCAGCTGCCTGCTCTCGTTGGCGGATGTGAATGTCGAGTCGGCCGACTCTTCCAGATATTTGGCATGCTAGATATCTGGCAGACATCAGCGATGTGGCAGTGATGTGTCTGGGAGCCGTTTTGCTGCGTCGTTGTGTAGTTCACACATAACAACTGGCGACCAACGATCGCTGATTTACTCCCGACGACAGCCTGATGGTCGCCGAGCTCGCCGAGCAGCAAATCGGGCTAAAAGTTGTGTAGAATAACTACTGGTGTAGCAGCGCTCTCCTCAAGTTGGAGAGCACTAGACAAGAGAAGGGACTGAGGGCAGACATGGATGTCATGTTACTGCTTTTGGAATGAATGTTTGTCTTTTAAATGTGGAACTTTCGCTGTATTTTTGTAACTATTTCTGAACACAAGCCTGGGGCAGGCTCACCAGTATTTTGGAAGTGGCCCTGATGCTCTGCAGCAGCATGACTCGCATTAAAGAGGTGGTTTTATGCTCATTTTCAGGTTCAAAATCTTATTTAGGGGTTGTACCAGAACAGGTTTACATGGGTTAATTTTCAAAAAACACCATATTTTTTGTCATACTGCCCATTGCTGCAGTTCCTCTTTTCACCCTGTGTTAAAGGCTTCGCTTTAGCTATGGAGTGATGCATCTCATCTAGCCAAGGACTACTAGCCAATCAGAAGCAGAGAAGGGCAGGTCAGCCAAAAGACGGTAAACAGCTTCGATTCAGCTCTAAGCTACATGTTTCCGACCAGGTTGGCAATTTGGACTGGAGCAAGAGTTTCAGAGTGGTGAGTTATTAATCTGTAACAAAAGTATCTTTCATCCATAAAGTTTTAACAGAGCTCTGTCTCTACATCACAGTAACAACTTTATGTCCATTGAGTATTGGGTAGCGAGTGTTTGGAAGAGAGAGGAGAGGTGTGCTGCAGATCTGTGTTTTCCCACTGGTGTTTTTAAGGACTAGTCGCTCAGCGACACGTATTTTCATTGTGACGTCACAAGAAAGGGAAGTAAATGCTGGGAACTCCCTTAGGGCTGGACTTTGGGCTTTTTCACTTTGCAAACCTATTACATGCACAGAAAAGATATATAACTCAATAAAGGAGATGGGAAAAGCCAAAAACCATAATACCACCTCTTTAAAAATGATTTGGTGTCAACATGATTGTTTCATGGCACAGATTTGGTGAGCATTCATAAAAATCCAAGGTTTAACATGGAGATAAAGTACTTTTCAAGCCATAAATCATCTGTGATTAGTAACTAGGCCTCTGGCAATCTGAGAAAATGCTAAATGTACCTGCTGAAATTGAAGAGCAGCCGTTCAAACACAAGAACAGGACCAGTGCTGCTGAGGATGGTGAGAGGCTGACCAGCCAGCAGACAGAAAACCCCACCGGTGATTGCTGTGCCCAGAAAACTCTCCAACACGCCCTGCACCCATGGAGGGGGACAGTTAGGAAGCCATTCAGAACATAATTACAAGCTATTCAGAGGTTCAAATCTTAGTCTGACCTGCATGTTTTCTGTAGCATCCCCCAGCAGACCACCGAAGGTGATGGCATTCGTCACAGTTCCCAGGTAAATAAACAAAATGGTCGACAAGACCTGAATGTGAAATCCATCGGTGAAGTCACTGACAAAGAAAGGCGCTTTTCTTTTGATGTCGAGTAAGAGACCCCCACAAAACCTGAAAACAGAGAAATAAATGGTGTGTGTACTAAGCAACACCATGTTTACAGTATTTGTATGCAGACCAGGACAACTACAATACATGGCTCATGTTTAGTTTACAAAGCATAACACTTAACACTCATTATAACAATGAATCATTAGCATGGTGAGAGCAAGATATGAGACAAAATCCTGTGTAATCAGACACATAGTCCTTTGGCATTTTTTTTACAATTTTCTCTGGATATCTGTGAGCCATGCTGCACTTCAGTTTAAAAATAGAATGAACTGTTTAGCTGCTGAGTGTTGTTTAAATGCCAATATTTGCACTACAAGTTGTACAATCTTGTCAAACAATGTATTTCTTTCAGGCACACTCTACAATGGCCATTAACTATTCCATTTTTTACAGTGTTGGAAAGGTAGTGAAATGCTCCGTGTCCACATTAATATTCATTCTCATATAAAAACTATTAATTTGAAAAATATTTGGTTTTGTTTATGATTTCATACCTTCCAGTCTTCTTCAGCTCGTCACCTACAGCGTGCCCCCCTCCTCCGTGACCTCCATCATGAGGCATATCTCCGTTCATCTGCGATTCCCCTCCTGCATACATGTTTTTCCTAAAATAAACACAGTTTTGTTCAGTCTGGGAGGCTATTTACCTCTACTGAACAGTTTGTCACATAAAAATAGTGTGTGCTGCAGGTCATGTATTTTACACCTCAAATATGTACTGATGTTGACACAGCCGGAAGTTTTTTTTTTAGCATTTAAGCATTTAAAGCTCGTCAACATGTTGTCTTGGCCTCTTCTTATGTTGCCAAACAGATAATGTTGATAGGCATTACGTTATTAATTAGCTTGATTTATCAGTGCTCACATAACCTGCAGAAACGTTTCTGCTTTACTGAGAACAAAATTGCATCTTTAAATAAAACCCACTGCTGCTCTTTCATAATTGAACACTGTGCTGCAGTTGAGTGATTAAGTGATTTTGCAACTATTGCACTTCTTTAACATAATGTAGTCGCTGCACACACAGCATTCAGATGCAGCTTCTTAGATGTTTAATGCAAGATAGTCTTGTACTCTTACTTTCTCAGTTTTCACAAATGTCTTTTAAATGTTTGAAAGGCAGTGCAATGTGAACATTTTACTGGGCTACTGTTCAGGCTGATAATCCTCTAAAATGATCTAAAAGTGATTTGATGTGCCAATTATAAGTAGACAATCCACAAAAGTGAATATGTGAGTAAGTTTATCGTGTTCGTCCCTGATATAAAATCAACACGAGGAGCCTGGTGGAGGGGAAACACAGTATGCAGACACAAACTCAAAGTACATTTCTTGTTGACTCGGCAGAACCAAAGAAGCATCAGTAAGCACACAGTAGAAAGATGGACTTCATATTTATCCATGTTTATAGACCTTTTGTCAGAGGACGGGAGGGATTTCGGGGGCTCTATCCTGATGGCCGGGTCCCACTCTCCAGGAGGAAGCACAATCACCTCATCCAGGAACTCGTCGATGCCGGCCAGCAGATCTTGTCTGTCCTTGGCCTTATACGCAATGTCATGAAAGACCTGAACACAGACGGAGAGGGAAGAGGCATTCAAGTGTGAAAGAGACCTGTCAAAACATGCTGTGTCACCAGGCAGCGAGCAGTAATCTCATATATGAGGATTAATAATGGGGAAGAGAGTGAGATCCTACACACACAAGACATCACAAACACTGCACAATATTCAGGTCTAAATGCAGCAATGAAGAAATGTAGATCTGGGCCCGTATTTATCAAGCTTCTCAGAATTACTCATAAGAACACTGATAAGAACTGATTTAAGAATAAAAACATTCTTGGCTCAAAGCTGTGCTTAAAAGTTAGTTATCAAGCACCATAGTCCTAATTTGAGTGAAGTGTAGGACTAAATCTTAAGTGTCAGTCTGATTTACGACACTTTGCTGTGCCACAAACAGGATTTTGGATGACGATGTAGCCAACGACCAATCACTGAAGAGATTCTCGGATTAATTCACATTGAATGGTGAAATTCCTGAGAGGAGTTTATATTCAACTCATGTTTAACAATAAAGAATCAAGAGAATAGTACATTATGATACACATTAATAAATGAAAGATAAAAAAGGTTTGTCTTTATATGAGTGCCATCAATGCGCCTACTACTCCTGTATTGCCGGCTTTTTGCATGAACTGCTTGCTTCTGTTGGATTATGGGGGTGTTGTTGGGTAGTCGATGAAACGCGTGACAGTGTGTGGAGCTGTAGCCTAAGTGCTATCATTGTTTCCATGACTATTCGGCTTATTGATGGTTGTGACAGCCACAATCATCAGCGTTGCTGCATTTGTCCTGTGACAAATAAACGAAGCATCATCACCACCTTCAGTTTAACTGAAAACGCATTACTGCGTAAAGTCAGTGGTGAGACGGCGTCCCTCACCAACTCGCTGACAAAGTTTATGCCTGTGCTGTCCGACCCCGTCTTATTAACTGCGCGTTGTCAAATAATTCAGAAACATTCTTCCTCTTCTGAAAGATTTGCGCATGTCTCTGTCTCCACAGTGCCGTCACAAGCCCCTACTGGCATCTCCTAACCACTTGAGAGACCTCTCGAGCTGTCTTAAATAACTGGGAGAGTAAGAGTGATTCTTAGCTTTGAGAAATTTGATAACTTGCTTTTATTCTTAAGTTTAAAAGTAGGAGTAAATTTCATGAATTCTCAGCACTTAAGACTAAAATGGCACTTTGAGAAGCTTGATAAATACTGGCCCTGACCATCCTAAAACCTCTGGATTTCATCAATAAAATATAAATGCAATGCAGCATCAGTTCCCACAATGTAAAGACGTGACTTTACAGAGTTTATGAATAGCCTACAGCAGTGATTTCCAACCAGGAGTGCTGGTACCTCAGGGGGTACTTCTGCCTGGGGGTACATGCCTAGTCAGTACCTTACTCAGAAACTGTTCAATGATCTTTGTAAACAAAGTTACAAAAAAGCTAATCAAACAGGTATAGGTAGCTCAAACTTAGACATACTTTAAGAAACTGATTGTCAGCAATCAGTGGACAAATGGTGGAATGGTGGACAAAATTACATGAAAACATAATCCAATTGAATACAACAGCACCATAAACTACGGCCTAAATGATTAGCATAGAGATGAATCACAGCGTCAGCAAAAATGTGTGCGCCAGATTTTCTTATTAAAATATCACATGGGTGATGTGTGTTAATGGCAGTCCAACCTCATCTGACATCAGCGTGGCGATCGCTCGTCCAATCTCATGGTACGACTTGGCTTTGCCTTTGGGTCCAAGCAAGATGAATAAAAATCTGCAATTGGAACAAAATCATTTGTATTAGTAACATTGTTTATATGTACTTGTGCTGTAACAGTTAAACTTCTGAATGAAAATAAAACGATATTACCATAACTGTCCTAAAATTCAGGTCAAAGTGCAGTTTTTATTGTTAGCACCCATTTTATATTTATTTTATATTGTCTTTACATTACCCAACAGTGCAAAATCTCATAAGAAATTATTCACATCTTTCTCAGATGAGGACATATTCACTCCAAGGACATGTTGTCATTCTGTTTTGACTGCAGGAAGGCTGCTGCATATCCATTGAAATACCTCACAAGTATTTTGCAAGCTATATTATACCAAAGAGTGTTTATTATGGCCATAATGATGATGCATTATTTACATCACCATGGCGGAGATAATCTAAGACATTTTTACTAGTTCACTGAAAAGTTTCTTCCAAGAGCTACAGAAAATTAAATTGCTTTATGGCTCCTGGGTTACAACAACACATCAGAACCCAGTTCAGTGTCGCTCCTGTAGCTTTATGAGGCGGGTGGGCACAATAAAAGAAACACCTTTACAAACTAATCCTCACTTATAAAAGCTCAGCAATAAATATTAGAAGCATTTGTGAAGCTCAGAGTGTCACTTGTTGATCTAGCTGTAACTGAAAGTTTGAGTCTTTAAATTACAGGGGTGAATTAGATTTCTTTATAATTTAAGGTGAACACAGGGAAAAACATACTACTACATATGCCTGAAAATATTTAGCAATTTTATGGTGTCAACAGTTTGTATATTTTCTTCCTATACAATGTAAAGTCATTGTTATTAAGCCTAAAAATATATATGCATGGCAGCCTGAGTTGCACCTGGACAACCACAGCAGTCATCTTCATAGATATTCTGGTCTGACGCACCTTCCTACGTTAAACATTAGCTCCTATTTATAAATTCAGACATGAATGTCAGCCACCTTGTGGGAACTGGAACCTCTGTTAAGGCTCCGAGCATCACAGCTTGCTGCAGACGAACGAACGCCACAAACGGAGCGTCCAGGAAGTCCACCTCCCCCACCAGCACATTGGAGGCCTCGGCGTCTCTCGGCAACTTCTTCATGAACTTGTTCCTCAGCTAAAAGTACAAAAGAGAAGAACAGGAGGAGACATTAAATGTTATGTTCACACCAGCAAGCCACCCAACACAGCGCAAACAGAATTAAACGACCTCCATCAACCAGGACAATCCTAGTCAGCTTAAATACCAAAGGAACAAGTAGTAACATGAGGTCTGTCTTTCTTTGTCATGGCAGTGGTGAGATGTGTGAGGACGGAGGTCAGACACCTGCTGAGCTCCACAGGTTCAACATTTAGTAGAGTGAGCTAAAAGTGTAAGTATGAATCAAAAGAACTAAGATGTAGAGTTGAATCTAAGACTAATAACAGGAAGCTACTGTTTTACCTACAGTCTCTGATTCCACGGAGATCAGGGTTAAAGGAACACACTCATGTTTTTACATTTTTTAGCCTCTGAACTACAAGTTATTGTTTGAGCCCTTTTTTTAGATCCGTTTCTGTTCTTGGTGTGGAAATCACCCTGCTGTGACAGGTAATCCATCACATAGAAAAATCATCATTAATGGAGCTCATGGGGAATTCTGAAGATGCTATTATACAATGATTTCTCTGTGTGCAGAGGGGTGTGTAAATGCAGAAGTTAGAACGCTATTTGTGCTCCACATAATTGAGGATTATGTGGCGCATAAAGTGCTCTTTGTACTTGTGTTTGCGATAAGAAATGGACTGAGACGAGAGAAGCTCAAGAGAAATTTGATGCCGAAATAAGCAATAAAATTACTCTGAACTGATCTGCATTAAAAAAACTCGTGAGTCAATGAGGGTAACATATTTTCTGTAGTGCCTTTATAGCATTTTTTGGGTATTTTCTTATCTATTCTTAGTATAATCTGTTGGATTGGTACTGTGTATCAGTATGTCCTTCTGACACTGTTACTACACTTAATGTCAAAGATTTAAATTGAAATTCAAACTCCTGAGTACAAACTGCTGATTGGTAACTGATGTTACAGGATTTGTTTAATTGTTACATTCTGTAATAAAAAGATTTTTTAGCTACCAAGTCATGGCAATTCACACACTTCATCTTGGGTTGAACAACAAAACCTATTTCACTTTTGACGATTATCAATCGTATCTGCTTCATAAGATGTTCCCTATGATAAGATAGTGGCATGCTAATGAACAGGTGGAGATAATTAATAAATAAAACTTCAAAAACAACTAATCATAAACCTATAGATAAGACTGTCATGGAAAACTACTGCGTAATATATTAACTTAAAAAAAGCAGAGAGCAGGCAGGCAACATTTATTAAGACACAGCCAGTGACAATAGGACCTCTGTGCCCTGGAGGATACTCTTTATACTTTATACTCTTTATACTATACTCTTGTCTTCAACATCTCTTCACATGAAACACTTAAAGTTGAAGTTTCAGTGCAGTGTTTTGAATGGATTGATTAATTAACCCCAAACTAAAAAGTATACTGACAATGTTCTTCCATTACACAAGACTGTTTCAGAATCAAAATGGTTTAAAATAAACGTTCACCACTAAATCCCTAAATATAGTCCATCCACAGCAACTACAGCAACATAACACCAAAAACATAACAATCCTCCACTGTTTGCTGAATTTCTAAATAAAACATCTCAAAGCATTCAAAACATTCCTTAAATAGATGTACTGTCTGCACAAACTGGTGTTTTTTTTTGTTAATAAGTAAATAAAAGTAAATAAAAGTTCTTATGATACTGTATTTCACCACATAAATAAACTAACTGTTCCCGGAAAATCATCCTCACCTTCTCAACGTAAAATTTGTTTCTGTAAAATAACAATAACAAACATGAATGCCTTACAGTAAATATGGTGGAATGGTGGAAGACAACTAGAACGACCACCAGGGTAAACATTTCCAAAGTTGATTGATTTTTATGCTTTCAAATTAAGGAGAAGACGCACTTTCTAACCTATTCAGAAATTCTCCAGATAATGTGAAATACATGTTGTCATCGAGCTGAAGCAAAGCTGTCTGAAAAGTTGACATTTTCCAGTTTTACTTCAGTTTTGACTTTATCGTCACTGTTGTTTCTGTTGCTTTGTATGTCAGGTTCCTTCTGTATTGATACGGTATTTTTGCTACGTGATTTTTGAAATGTGACATTTTGATTTCAGCTGTTAATGAAGGGGCTACATTAAGGAAGATTTTTTTAACATGAAGGCAAGAAATTAATCATCACCTGTCTAAAGAACAGTCTGATAAGTTTCAAGATACCAAACTCCGTGTCGGATGATGTTAAATGCTGCTCTAAAATCATCTGTGCCAGGATTTAAATTGGATTAGATCATAAACAACGCTGACATGTCCCCCAATCAGTGTGGCACTGCTAGTACTACGCATACTGTATACATAGATTAAAATATATAGTCTGGGAGCAACTTCGACATTCTAGATTAATTCAGTGACTAAAATAAGATCAGATAAGAATTCAATTGTAAATAAAGATAATTCACTTAATTACTTTATCCTCTTTGATATCAACATTTAACATTTTTAAAATTTTAAAAAACAGCACGTATAGGAGGTTAAAAAGAACAAAAGACTGGTTGTCTGTCTATAACTTGTCATCATGCCCGCTCTACTGGCAGGATCGCCGCCATCAACCTCTGGGGACTGAAGTGCCCTAAACTTGTGACCTCCAAGTGGTGAGTTCCAAACGGATCCAATCAGAGCTTGAGCCGTCTTGGCAACGGGTTTGTCTGTCAATGATTGAGTTGAGAGGTTAAACCTGCACAACTAAACCTGCACAACTGTACCCTCTGACCCAAGTCCGATCACTGCTAATCCACACCACGCTGCACTCATGAACTACGTATACCTGAATCTGTACCTGCCCCATTTGTTTCTGAACAGGCATAACACACAAACTTATTATTATCTCAGACATGTAATATACTGGGACATTGAGTACCTGAGATGTAAAACCTTGTAAAACCTTGTAAAACCTTGTAAAACCTTGTAAGATACTGAATGACATTCCCTTGTTCTTTTCAAGTTAAAACTGTAGTAGTGCTCAGTGCTGCCTCCTTCTTAAAGAGGTCAGTTTACCCAAAATTTAAAAAATACTTTTCTACTTTGCTCTAGTGGATATAGTTTTATTTAGCCAGGTTTGAACATATGTCAGAGACTTTTACCACCATCCCAACGCATTGTCAGCAGTTTTCATAGGGACCATTTCTTTGGCAAAAAATAGTTCCCATGAAAACTGGTTGAAGATGTACTGTGGATTACTGGACATTTTTTCTAGAAAGACATTGCTGTTGAATGTTTTAGAAATTATGTTTTCAATGCTCTCAGCACCACAAACTAAATTCCAGTCACTTCAATTGTGTAGGGGCAGTGGCAGAAATCTCAATGATGGACGTCTCAAATCTGCATGAGTACCAGCAGAGGTATGTGCTATGACATTTGTATGTGGTTAATCATTAGGATAATCTGACGCTTTAATTTTTAATTAAAATAATACACGTCTTACTGTAAAACACAATGCTGGCCTTCTCGACAGTCCAACAATGCAGCGATGAGCCAAGGTTTTATCTATCGTTAAGCACCATGTTATCAGACATGTGGCCAGTGTGGAAATGATCACTGCATGTTGGCCCCCATAGGAAACTTCTGAATGTTAGTTATTGGCTGAGTGGGTGTGGAAGAGCTTCAGTTGAGGACATGTGCTTCCTGTCCAGTTGTCTCTTTCCTACTCTGACCTAATTCCCTTCTCCCAGAGGCCTGGTCTGGGGTGAAACCATATGGCAAACAATGCCTGCTGTGAAATGTGGTAATCTAACTATTCCACTATCAGAATCAATGGAGCTTACGGCATGATGTAACCACTCTGCAAACGGACTACTTTGTGGTCATCTGCAGTAATTTGTGTGTAATTCACTACAATAACAGATTTCTGCAAAAGAAAGATCTATCTGCTGCTAATATAATATTCAAATTTCATAAATCCACTCAGTTTGGATAAACCTTCCAATAACTGGGCCTTAGAGTCCAATTAAGTTTATACATCTTACATTTTCTTTGGCTGGAATGGCAAATATTGTAGGAGCTACAGTATTTTATCTGGTACACTTGCCATTTAACGAGGCATAAGAAGTATGTATAGTGTGAGCCTTACAAATACCAGAAGGCAAAGGAGAAGTAAACATGTTGCAAATGACATTTGATAAACACATTGAGAAAAAGATATTCTGATATCTCCTCCCTAGCGTATCGTCAAGTTGGAGTGGGAGTCGACTGGGAGAGTAAAACTTGTGCGTGTTTGGGTGTGTATTTTCCATTGTAACTTGATCATAATTATTTTTTTACTCTCTCTTTCTGTATTTTGTTATACAGGAGAATCTTAACCTAATCGCTGTCCTCACTGCAGCACCTTCCTGCTACTAAATCTCCACACTGACCTTTACATTTATTCAGATTTTCTATAGACTCTAAAAAAACTGCTAAGCTGAGTACAGACATGGCATAAGCAACTTAAATTTAGTTTTAAAGACTTGGCTGCAGCAGGCTCAGAGCAGCTGCAGCAGAGTGGGAAATGACAACAGCAGTTGGAACAATGCACTTTAGGGAGTGTTCTGAATCAGCAGCCACTGTCTGCTCTCACTGGCTTTTCCAGCTCAGCAGTGGATGGAGCTACATGAGGCTAACTATGTTAGCTTTGCAATCCCAGCTTGCGGTTCTGTCATTGTGGCTGAGCTGTAGTTGAAAGGCATACAGTACACTGTTAGATAAATGTTTGACACTTCTCACCTTTACTGCTCTTTTTCAGCACGACTGGACCAATTTGCCACTTTGTTTTTTACTTTCAGTTGGAAAAAACACACACCAGATATGCTGGAAATATGCTGGAAATGAGTAAAAAGCCGTGGCTGAATTATGCCTAATTTTGCATCTATAACACATAGTATTAACAAAAGCACTACTTGATTGTCACTGGTGAAGACAACTTAATTTAACTGAAACCTGGAGATTTTCAAGAGGCAGTGAGAGGTCAGATCAAATGATCTGATACATACAGTATCTGACCTGTGAGACTGTATGTAAGATATTAGTATTAAATCTTAGTTCAATGTGATTCAATTCAACTATTTACCCGTATTAATGAAAGCTTTTATATTCGATCTCTGTTTTCTATGTACAGTTATGCATTTTAAATTTCCAGTAGTGTGGCACAGTCTGTCAAGCTTTTGCAAATCGTGAACTCTTGAAAGTCCAGCAGCATGACAAGGAAAAGACCACCATCTACAAACACTCATTGACTTCACTGTATATGACCACAGGTGTGATTGTCATGTTGACTCACCTGGTCTTTTTCCGGTTTGTCAGAAATGTCGTTCAGGCTGCTGGAGGTCAGGTTCTGATGAGTTGTGGTGGGACTATCTGTTAAAAACACATTAACAGTTACACCAGCTTCACCTTCACCAGGATCTAAGTCTTGAATGGAAAGAGAGGATGAGACCCAAGAAAAGAGAGTGGCCCAGACAGTTTGCTCCGCATGCAGCGCCGAAAAGAATAAAAAGGCAACAGTGATTTTCATGCAAACAGTGGGACAAAGGCTATCATTTATTCAATAAAGGCCAGTGCACACCAGAGAAAAAATTCCTCACTACTTTACAATTACTGTTCAAGCAAACGTTTACGTCAAGCTGAAAACATTTTTCACTGAGGGATAGTAGTTGGATCTACATACAGTCTGCTGAAAATCTTGACTCGGGAACGCTGATGCTGTTCTATTCAAAGTCAGAGGTCAGCCATTTACAGCTATTTCACATCAGTGTGAAGTACAGCCTCCCCTAAGAGGAGAGAGCCCAAGAACTCTTCGTACAACAATGCATTTCAAATGTGTAACATGATGTTGACTCTTCAACAACAAATCTCAAATTACAGAGCCGGTATTGATTGGTCCACTTTATTCTACAAGAAGAATGAAATTATTATTCCTCAAACATCTTTCTCTAAACTTGTTTAGCTTGTGGGGAATAAACTAACATGACAAATGCACTGCTTAATATTAAACTAATATTTTCATTTTGTGCATCCATATTTAACTCTGTAAAAATAATCAAGAGCTTTACTATTGAGAGTATCTGATCATCCTACTGTCCATCTTTCACATCAAAGTCTTCCACTAAGTGCTTTCCTCATCTGAAGCAGGTGGACTGCAGACTCTGACTGACGCTCTGCCGACTGTCAGTTTCAGCTCGTCAACTCCAGCATCAGAGATCTGACAGCAGAACGTGACAGTACATTAGCCCTGGAGCTGCTGAGAGATAAGGTATGGTGTCCAGAGAGGTACAAGCGCAAATTCTGATGCCACTGTAGCCTTTTATCCATCTGCCACCGGAGCATTGTGGGTAATAACATGCCTGTCAGTATGATGCAGCCAGATTAAATGACGGAATTGTAGTACTTATATTGAGTAGCTACAGTAATAAAGAGCAAAAACAACTACATTTAAGGGAAATATTTTAGCCAAATATAGCTGTGAAATGTTTTGGGGGGAACAACTTAAAATAAATAAAAGTAGCCTAAACTGACTGGAAGAAAAACTACTCATAGACACAACTACATATCTACTACTACTGTACTTGATACACTTGGTCCGAATGACAGGTGTGTTTTCATTTTACACTACAGTTAAGTCACAATCACATTCAAACTGCAGCTGAAAGCTTTCCAGTTCTGACTGTTTGCACTCACATGAGATACAAATCTGATGTCTGATCGTGTCAACGACAAAAAGCTCACATTTTCCAATTCCTTTCTGAGTATAAAATATAAAAATATAATTTAGGTGACTTGGCAGTTTGGCTGAGCGAGTGGTATTATATGGAGGACAGTGAGCTAATTGGGGGGGGGGGGGGGAGCCAAATACACAAGCTAATTGGTATTTTTAGTCAGAAGTCAAAGGAACAAATATGAAACTATCTGGGTATTGTTTCTGTGTCTACAAATACTACTGCTAATGCGAGCAGTGACTCAGAACTGATCAGCGGTCTGCAGTGTGAACGTAGACTGGGACCAGTGAACTTACTAAGCCAGTCCATGCTGGTACTCCTTTGTGTCTGCAAGTCCTCCATTGACATGCGACTCGACAGGCAAGTGACAGAGTTCTCGAGGGGACTGCGAGCTTTTAGTAGCGGCAACGGGTTATCAAACCCAATCCAGGGAAGCAAAAAAGGAGGAAAAAGAGATGGAAGGGAGACATGGCAGGAGAGTTGATAGACGAGCCCACTGAGCCAAAGCAAGAGATTTGTTAAAACAAAATCAAGTGTCTGTTAAAAGATCTGTAAAACATGAATTATCTGCAGAGAAAGTAAGAGAAGTGGTGTTATTAAATCAGGAGACCATGGGTCACTGGACAGGAATACTTTGACAGGAGTCAACCTGTATTATAATAAACTGGATGATGTACTTTATCCTTGCAAAGTTGTAATCAATTAATGATTATCGGTGAAACTCTTTATCTCAGTACTGTGATCTTGATAAGAGATCATGAACAGCCGGAGCTTTTCATCTGAAGTCATAAACTGGTTTCATAAATCTGATAACAAGTACTAAATAACTTTCCAGAGTCCCATGGCTGGTAACGGATTAATTACATTGTCAACACGGTGAAACATCTAGTTACTCTCTGTGTTATAATCACAACACTCATACACATATTAAGGTCAGTTGGACGTCAGTGTGTTTCAGGGCTGTCACCTTACCTCACATTTGAGACAAGTTTAAATCTATGGTTTGCTTAGTATTTTACCGTTCATTAGTTGTTCATTTCAATTTCATTAACGAAGGATTTTGTAACAATGGTCACAGAAAACACCAGATTCAAGTTGAATCCATTTCATATGGCAACAATATTTCTATTAAAATGGCCAATTAAGTCAATTTCACCTATTTTCTTTCCTTTGTGTACTTTTTACAGAAATCTGAATTCCGCTCTCTTTGTAATTGTTTGTCTGGAATAACTTTCAGTGAAGTTAACATATCAGATTCTGAGATTTTAACAGCTGTAAATGACAATCTCTAAAGTTCTCGATCACTCAAATCCTATAAAGATACTAGGTCAGTTTTACTATTTCCGATGGCCCTGGACTTTTATCTCCAGTGTCATAAATTCAGGCACTAACTCATTTCTTCAGTGTTGAAATTTACAGAGGATTTACAGAGTCAATTTGAAATTAGCTCCACCTGTGAATGCAGTTTGTGCAGTAGCCTACTGTGAGTACATTAAAACTGTTGTTAGAGTGAGAACACCAAATGTTTGTGATGAAAGTTAAATTAGTTAAATGACAGGTTTAGTGAGCAAGTAGGAGCACTATAGTAGCACTAGTATGAAGGATGTTTGCTTTTCAAAACAACAATCTAAATTAAACCCAGTAATGCAGTTAAGTATAACTACATTTATTATAGAGTGAAATTGATTGAAAATGGATTTTGTTGTTTCATTTCATCGTTACAAATCAAAATTAATAAAAGAAGACTGCACCATACTGGCATCAGTATTACCGTTTTCCTGGTTGGAAAACAGCCTACTTGCACTGGAGACCGTCTTGCCGATGTCAGCCAGAGAGCGCAGGTTGGATTTCTTGGTCTGGTGACGATGTTTCCGTAGCAACGTGTACATCACTTTGTCCTTTAGGTCTGCTTTCAGCTGGCCGATCTCTATCTGGTTGTCAGTGATCAGCTCTGAAGGTAAAGAAGAGGAGAGGGAAGGAAGAAGATGAGGAAAGATTATTTCAGTATTCTTTTTTTTGGAGAAAATAAAGTTTTGCAACTTGGAGTTTAACCAAACTGCATTTAAGACATGACAAATTACATAATTACACCCAACAACTGGAATCCAACGAGATTGTATCTTACAGTTGCTTATATTGTCAGACCAACAGTTTAAAACCCGTATTTATTCAACTGACAGTGGTATACATTTGTTTTAAAAGCCAGCAAAACCTCAATGTCAACATGCTACAATTAAAAAAAGGCTTGTCTTTTTATTTTATTGGCAACATGAGCAATTTAATTTATCAGAACTGTTACTGAAAAGTTTTCTGTAAATTGTTTCAGCACTTAGCTAAATTGTTACATGAACTCATCACACATTTTTACACCAAACAATATATTTTTCTAAAGTTCTGAAGAGCAACAATACTTAACAGTTCAAATCAATAAATCAATAAATTATGATGGGCTTTCAAATCACGTTTTCATTTGGGGTCTATTTTTTCCCTTAGACAGCCTTAAATTTAGTAACATCACTCAAAGCACAATAAAAAGCCTCTTCATACTTGTAAGCACTCAATTAGTGCCTCCCAGACTGTAATGCTCCTGCATGAAAGTCTTTGTGGCATCATGAAACAGCTCAATCAAAAGGTCCTGCCTATTTTTAAAAAGAAGGTCAGAAGCCTGAATGCTGACAGATAGCAGCCTCGGGGAGTTTCTCTTCTTGCGGAGGGGTAGTGCTGTTAATGGCCCATCAGTCAAGTCGGCTGGCCTCAAAGCAAGAGGCCCAGCTCCGCTCGGCCTGTACACTCCATGCAGCACAGTCAATTACTTCACATTAATCACTCCAAGTGGTTACTGTTCCTCCTGCTCCCTCATGCAGACAAAAGGAAGAGGGTTGGCTGTCCTCAAATTAGGAAGTTTTTGTGTGACCATTTACAAACTACAATTTGAGTCTCTTGGTGTTCTAAAATAAAGTACAGTATAGGCTGGACTTGACTTAGAGTTCTGGCCTTTTGCTACCCTTAAAGCAAAGAAGAGGAAGGAATATAACCTCTGAGCACTGTGTGTGATGTGCATCAATCTCTAAACCTGCACGCAACACTGCAGACCAGCTCTGAATAGACTGAACATCACGGAGCAGATAAAATCAAACTGGCAGACGGGTTCTTGTATCACAGGCAGGAAGATGCTGACCTCTATCAATGTGTCAATGTATAACACTACACATGAAAAACACACTGTAAATTACTTTTAATTAGTAACCAGCCCTAACTGCAAATAACATTCACCTGCAACTAGGGCTGGGCAATAAAACAATAATGATAATTATCGCAATATAATTTTCCTCAATAACAATATAACAAATGTTCAATTTATCATCAATAATCGTTGGTTTAATTCATTTGAATGACATACAAATTATCACTTAATTTTTCTATTAAAATATTTATTTTGTAGTGGAAAGGGGACTGAAAACAGATTTACTTATCATATTTGTTGAAAAAGATTTTATCATAAATAGTTTGAATTGTTCTACCTCAGATTTGGTAAGTGATTCACTGTTTGGCATCAAGTTTTTGTCACATTTTGACCATAAAGAAAAGTTTAGCCACATAATTAACCATCAGGTTTCTTCAATTTTCACTCAGGAGCAAAAATCTGCCTTTAAACTTGAAAGAAATAATGATTTGACATTTATCGTCATAATTATCTATATCGAATGATATGAAATGTTTTATCATGATAACATTTTTGGCCATATCGCCCAGCTCTACCTGCAACTAATTTACATCAGCTATATCAGTTTGGGGGGAAATAATGACTAATGTAAGTTTGGGTTTGAAGAATGTAGCAATGTATAACAGAGAGCCTGTGTTATATACTGATGATGTATGAAGACAGTGCACTGAATGCCATCTATCAAGCACTCCCAACTTACCAACAACCTGAGGCAGGGTGGAAGCTTCCATGTCCAGCATGATGGTGCCTTTCTCTATGCACGTCCGCAATTCAAAAAGGCTATGTAAGGACAGCGTGGCCACATGGGGCTTACTCCAGCGTTCACCTCCTTTCTCTACCTTCTCCTCAAACTTGATCCACCTGGAGGAATTTCAAAAGGGAGAAAAGGGGTTGGATTTAACTGGGGACAGTTACAGGCAATCACAGAACATGTAAACAGGGTTTGATATTAATATATTTTATCCTCTTACATATAATATATGGAACAGCTATTGACTACATGAAAGAAACAACAACTCACCTGCAAATGGTGACCTGTGAAACAAGCTACATTACGTGACCAAACATATCAACATGCAAATAAGTCAATATAGTAATATCAATTACAAAGTAAATTGTAGGGTTGTGGGGTTGAGTCGCACAAGTAGGGCCCATGGAGGGCTACATGGGCAATGCACAGGCATCATGTAGGCCCATATACAAGAGAGGTTTTGCAGCTCCATCTCAAATCTGATAGCAACCATTGGAGAATTCATCATATACAAATAATTTCAGAATTTGCAACAACCTGACAAGAAAAACCATCTCGGAATAATTATTGTTGTGTGGGACAAGATTATATGAATTTGGCACCAAGCTGTGGACAAGTGCGTGACAAATGAATAAAACTTCAGTAAATGGTAAAACAAAGTTTTCCTTTTTATAACTAATGCTAGCACTTCAAAACTGTCTCTTTGTCATTTATTTCATGTTGTTTACAGTTAAAGCCACATTAGGTGTTGTGATGTCTGGTTGCATACCTGGTAGACAGGTGCATAGATACATGTGTGACGAAGCTCTTTGATGGAATTCAATTCTGCGTTGTTTATGCTTAAGGTAACCATCAGTTCTTCAATTCAGAAGCAGGATTATAAATTTCTTCATGAATTTGTTTAACTCACTCCCCCTTACCCCTTCCTCAGAGTAAGAGAGAGGAGAAACTGAACTGGTACTGAGCAGTTGTTTCTAGACCAGGGTTTCATTCGGCCAGTTTGGCTGCCAAAATTGCACTTGGTTAACAGCCAGTACTACCCAGCACTTGTGACATCTTTTATTCAGTCCCATGAGTGCATTTGGTGAGACATTGGAATGGGTGTTAATCTCTGCAGTTATTTGCAGAATAATAAGTTTGACATTGAAGGTGCAGCATTCATTTATTTCACCTTTGGTAACAAATATATAAGTATTTTAAACTTAAAAATACTTTTTTGAAGGGTCTGGAACTGTAGTCCTTTTTGTTACTTTTTAACCCTGCTGATCCTCCTGTATTGATTCCTCGACCTCACTTTAATGTGGTACTTTCTTAAACTCTTCACTGCAGGGAAGTTCCATCATGAATTGTCACCATCACACAACTTCTATCCTATTTGTTTGAGAAAATATCTCGGCAAACTAAGGTTTAATAACCATGCCTCCCGATGGGTAGGTTTCTGCAGGACCGACAAGCTGTCACCTTTTGAATTTTGACATAATGACTCAGTTGAAGCTCATCTATGCTAGACCTTCAGTTTACTGTATGCATCAGGCAGGGTGACAGAAGCTGGACATATTTATCATCTGTCAATATCAATGCTGGAAGAGACTCAATTTCTTGAAACAACTTGAATAAAAACAGAACTAAATTATTCTTCAGTAACAGTAAAAGCTCTTCAGTCAAGTTCTTCTGCAAATACTTCAACCAAGAGTGAACCAAAAAGTAACTTCTATCTGCAGAACAATTGGTCAGAGGTTAGAATAACATAGCAACTCATTTGGAGCCTCAAACAGCAGCCCAGGGATCCAGTTTCCCCCTGAGAGAGCTTCACCCATCCAACACTAATGACACACAAACAATCATCCCATCTCTATCCCATCCCATCCCACTAGTGGGCCACACTGGAGAAACCTGTGAAACTCTGTCTGTTCTCTTTTTATGCTGCTCCAAATTCAATGCACACAGCAAATGTGAAAATGTTAGACGGGTTTTAGACTGACAACTAGCTAAAGTTTAAAAATGCTTGTTCAGTTATACAGTAATCTGGGATGGCTGTAAAAAAAAACTATCGGAAGCATTAAAGTAACAGTTTTTGAGGCGAACTTGAAGAAACAAATAACATAAAGTGGACAGCAAGAACATTGCCGTGTAGACTTTTCACAGTTAAGTGTTTTATATTTTTGAAAGACTAAGTGAAAGTCAGAGAGGACGTTTTCTATACATCATTACAATTGGAAAATCAATGGTGCACATACAGGAACTTTATGATGAAGGCTTGTCTGAGACTGAGGTCCTTACCTGGCCGTCTCCTTCCACTCCATCTCCTGTCCATCCACTGACAGCAGCTCATCCAACTCAGTGAAGAGTTGCGGGGGCGCCGGGCCATCGTCCTCCTCCCCGAGGATGAAGCGGATCCTCTCAGCTGCCGGCGAGACTGTGGAGAGAGGAAAAATACTGCGGTTCATAGGCTGGCAATGGTGCCCATTAGGTATGGGTTTGGGCACCAGCTTCCCCTTCTCAACTGGACCCTTCCCGTTGACCTCAGGAGGAGGTGGAGGTGGTGGGATTTTCACCATGACCTCCTCTCCTTTCTCCTCCGTGTCCTCTTCCTTTTCCTCCTTCTCCTCTTGGTTATTGTTGTTGTTGGACATCTTTAAAAACTCTGTGACCCCCCTTTTACTCTCCAAATCAGCTGACCCAGGCTCCTCAGGTAGCAATCGGCAAGCAACACAAGCTCACCAGAGTCAAAAAAAAGCAGCAGCTAGACCCTCATTAAAGTCTCGGGTGGAAGTGACAGTCGCTCTCGGCTGCCTGCTCCAGCACTTTGTGAACCAGGTAGGAGGGGGCTGACGGGGTTTAGGGGTCCCCTCAGTGACAGCGAGCCCCTTCTCCCTCTCTGCCCCCTCTGTTCAAACAGGCCTTCGCCATTGGCCCTCCAGCCTTGGCAAGCTGCCCCGGAGCCCCTCATTAACAATTAGGAAATGGTTCACAAACTGGCCTATTCTTCAGCAGAGGCTTGAGCTTTTTCTTACCCTTGTCTTCTCATTTGAATATTTAGAGAGCAACACAAACAGAATTACAACAGGACTGATTCATAAATTATAGTTTTCAGTGCTATTCAAACATGTTGTAAATGGTTGACATCGCCATAGCGTGTTCAAACAAGTGGAAACGACATTTGAAAGCAGGCCCATGCATGTAGAAAATTGTACACAAAGATGACTGTCATCAGCAAAAAAACACACAAGACGAGTTAATGTTGCATCAATAGAGCTACAGCTTGTTCCTGTAAAGGGTCTCATAAATGAAATGATGGCAACTGCTCAAGAAAGCACGCTGCTAGTTGCAAATTGCTCATCTCTTGTGCACATGCTGCAAGTTTGTGTGTAACGACCCCTTTTAATTTAGTTGCGTAGTATACTCCACATTTGTTAGAACTAGGCTAAGTTTGAACTTACGAACAGCTGCTGCAACCAGCTACGTGACAGCTACACAGGTGTTTTTTTGGATCATTACACCTCTGTTTAGGTGAAAATTATGCTAGGTTGGTTTGTGACGTCACCTAGCTCAATGCACCAATAGGAAATATAAAGGTGTAATTTGTTCTGCACCAATAGATACAACAAACACAGTGCTTCGAAGACAAACACCTGTGTGGGTTTACTGCTGGTGTGCACTGCCATTTTTGGTTACTCTAGACTTTAAATACAGATAAAATGTGTGAAGTAGTCCCTGTTAATCACTAGTCGTGAATTTCAAACTTATTTATTCTGCAAATGGCGTTAGTTTATTTAAAAGGTTGGAGTGAATTGAATAAAATTAATACATTTTTAAGAAAATTCTGACTGGTCTGAAAATAGCAGCTCATTTTCAAATGATGTACCGATGATGAGATCTGAGAACGTCCTTCTCAGACCTGCGCTCTTTGCTTTGGCTTGTATTCTAGTAATACTTTATTAGAACTAATAAAATCCCTATGAATGTGTTAATCCCTAATGCATTGCATTTTGTCTGCCTGTGTTTGGCTCCCACAAAAGTGGAGACTACTGTAACGACAGAAGCATCCTTTAAACGCACCGCCCTCCCTGAGCCTCTGTCGCCAAGTCCTTGCTCACGGTGGGATTTGTTGGGTATCTGTAAACAATATCATAAAGAGTACAATCTAGACCTGCTCTGTATGAAAAGTGCAACAAGATAACTGTTATAAATCTGCCAGATTCCTTTGTTTTATTAAAAAAAAATATTAGTTTGAACACAAAACACAGAAAAGTTAACACTGATAGTTTTTTAAATGTTATGCTATTGAAAAACTTGAAAAAGATTATATTGTATTGCTCTATGTGGCTTACTTACCAATGTGATGTTCTCACTGTGTGAGTGCTCTCGTACATCTGTCTTTGTGAGGACCACTTTGAGTTCCAAGACTTTTTGGAAAGGGAGGACATTTTGTTCCTCATTTCTTCAAAGGGCCCATCGAGGGTCACGGCTTGGTTTTAGGGTTGTGGTAGAATTAGATTTGGGTTAAGGGTATGGAGATGTAGTTGTGAAGGTGAAGAATTAAGGAATGCATTATGTCAGTGAAGGTCCCAACAAGTACAGAAGCACAAACGTTTGTATGTGAGGATAATAACAAAGATGCCTGATCTGATAACATAACAGCTTGCTAATATTGTGGCAGCAGACTGCTTCAAGTTTGACCATTTTTGTTCCCCAAAATGGAGTTATTCAGTGTTTCCTTTGGACTCTTAATCTTGTCAGTTTAATAAAAAAGCATGTAAAAAAAACTGTCTGTCTGGCAGAGTGACCACTCACCTGGGGATAAGGGATATTATTATGCTCTATCCTGCTCTTAAATGATTTTAATAAAATCTCTGCAACAGAGACAAAGGACAATAATCCCGGATAACCTTGTATTGAGTATTTAACTAGACTTCCCTTTGCAGGTGAAAAGACATTTATATACACACCCCAACTTACTTTATAATCACCTACAACCTTCATTCATTCATTCAGTCAGTCAGCAGCAAGTGGCCAAACAGTAAATGAGACCAAGCCTCGAAGTTTCCCTCTATTGTGTTTTCTGTAGCACAATAACAATAACAGCAGGTACGAGCCAGATAAGCAGCTATGAGATTACTAGGTGGGAGATAAACTGTCTGCTGGCACACACACATACACACTTAAGTCACCGCAACCTGTTTAATAACACCTTAGGTGAAATAATTTACATGTGCGTTTCACACATTTAGCTGACGCTCATATCCACAGCGATTTACACTGATTACAGTAAACAGTTAATAGAAGCTTTAAATACATATATGGCCAAAATTACATGCAAAACAATAGCAAGCAGTGCAAAGCGAGGGTCAAAGCCTCAGGCATGAAGGCTCATGCAGAGAACCCACTGCTGTGTTCCTACAATGTGCATAGAGTACAGGGTGTTTACTTTCCAAGAGCAGCACAAAATATTTTATCATTATAATTCAACTGTAATAACACAATCCACAAATGCTAAATTGTTATTTTCTTCCCTATGAAACCAAGGTAAAGCCATCCGGCTGAAGGAAACACATTAGCAGAAATAAATTGTGGCACAAGAACAGGAAACGCTACCTGAAACCCAGCGTTCACAGCTGTAATCCTCTACTTTCTGCCAATTCAAACTACAGCCTATAACAAAAAGAAACACATTTTCATGGCAAAACTCCTGTCATGGGGCACCCAAAATATGTGTAAATTTGAAACTTTCTCATACCAACTATTGTAAAAAATTTGAGATAATACACAGTAGGGATATAAAACTGTCAAGATTTTATCCAAGAGAGATTTTCTAATTCTTCATGAGAAACTGATGCGGCATATCCATGATATCCAGCAAAAACTCTGCTAACTCGAGTAGTTGCTAAGAGAAAGGTGGGAGGGTGGGTGAGAAGGGTTAGGGGTGAGGCTCAGTGCACAGTGAAAGCAAAGAGGGGTGAGAGCAAGCACGAAAAGGAGGGATAGAAATGAAAATCCCATCGTTCAAACGCAATTTCAAAGCTCTGTGTGCTCTAGCCAAGAGCCATGGGTATACAAAGAGGACTTTGTCCCAGCAGCAGAGGCTCATGGGATAGGGGATGGAAGAAGAATGCCCGCTGCCCAGCAGAAAGCTTAGTGTGGCTGCCACTAAAGGCCTGTTTAGTCCCACTCTTGACATGCATCCTACACAAATACCTTCCATCTCCTCTGACCTTTTTGAAAAACTCAGCACAGTAAAATGCTACATGGGATCTAATAGCACGTTTATTGTTTGTGACTGTACATGCAATGATAATGTAACTGCGCGACACTCATTCAAAGCAAAGAGAGGATCACTCACAGTACAGGAAAGGTTTTCCCAGCCACAAAGTCTGACATTAGGTATGCAGGGCATCTAGCACACAGCCAGCGAACAGGGATTGGGTTGAATGCAGAGTAACACCCAGAGGGGGATTCACTGAAAGCACAGTATTTATACCAAGACCATCTAGCTCTGGTATTTTGTTGTGATAGCTGTGGTGGGCAGGTTCTAAAGAGAATGTAACAAATACCAGCTGAGGGGACATAACCTGAAATGAAATGACCGCTGTGATGTCTGCAGGTATACTGAATGTGTAAGCACATTTTCTCTACGCTTTCACTGTGAACAGCACAACGCAACCCGTCACAGCAGGGTCAAGTTTGTCTACAAAAGGGCTTAATGCACTACTTTGTCCAGGAAGACTCAGCAACATTACAAGTATTTTTTGTGAATCATTTACCATTCTGGCAATGAGGGCAAACCCATTAAAGTCTTATTTCATCACATTTATCTTCCAATTTTTCCTCTCATATTACCATTCAACACACCGCGGTGCATCGTTGCACCAGAGCAGAGGGAATATTAAACCACTTGGATCTAATATACAGAAACTAAATGTAAAAAGACTGAGGTACACAAGTCTTTTTACACATTTATGATGGTATGGAATGAAATTAGAAAACAAGACGGAGCGACTTTTAGAGCAATGTTGCTGGGCAATGTTGCCGTCAATGGTAATGAGTAAAGATTACTACCGAAATTGCCCCTCCCACGCCACCCTGCCTGCCACTATCCATTCAAAACATAGTTGGACTTGCTACCAGCAAGATTTCCCAGCACATTGCTCGAAAAGTTGCCCCGTGTAGCATCAGATGAGTGATAAATAGATGAATGAGATTAACTTTTGTCAGTTATTATACTTTCTCTTATGGTGAATTGATTTTCATTCATGTTTGCTACAAATTTGTTTTATTGCCTTTGGTAGTGATCTGTAAATCAGATCAAAGAACTTTTTCTCTTAGCGCATTTCTTATTTCTAGGCAGAATCAAAATTGCAGTCAATAGTGATCTCCAGGGCAGGGTTAAGTCTAATCAGAGAAAATGTTTAATGATAC